GGTTTCTTCTTTATCTCCTCTTGTATTCTGAATCTGCTTCTCTATCTTTCAGAAAAATTGTTCTGGCGACAAATATTGCTGAAAGTAGCATCACCATAGATGATGTTGTGTATGTTGTAGACTGTGGAAAGGCAAAGGAAACAAGTTATGATGCTCTTAACAAGCTGGCATGTCTGTTACCATCATGGATTTCAAAGGCTTCAGCACATCAGGTATTCATTTAGTTTCAAGAAAGCCTAGAGTTAATGGGTAATTCTCTGTATTTATTCCATGTTTTGACTAGTTTCACCTGTTACCAAGTTTGTCACTTTTTGATATGGTGGGTCAATTTCAGAGACGGGGTCGTGCTGGCCGTGTGCAACCTGGAGTTTGCTATAGACTGTATCCAAAACTAATCCATGATGCAATGCTTGAGTATCAATTACCTGAAATTCTTCGAACACCTTTGCAAGAGCTATCCCTTCATATCAAAAGGTTGCAACTTGGAACCGTGGGATCATTTTTGGCAAGGCACTTCAGCCGCCAGATCCTCTTTCTGTTCAAAATGCGATTGAGCTTCTTAAAACAATTGGAGCTTTGAATGATGCAGAGGAGCTTACTCCGCTTGGTATCTATCTATCTTTTTTTTTTCAAAAGAAAAAATTGTTCTGTGACATATGTTCGCTCTAGGATATTAACTGTTATCTGAATTGTTGTTTTTTGCAGGTAACCATCTTTGCTCTCTACCTTTGGACCCAAACATAGGAAGATGCTTCTAATGGGAAGCTATTTTTCAATGCCTGAATCCAGCTTTGACAATTGCAGCTGCTCTTGCACATCGTGACCCTTTTGTCCTTCCAATAAATAGGAAAGAGGAAGCTGATGCAGCAAAAAGATCCTTTGCTGGTGATTCTTGCAGGTTAGGCTGCTATGCTAAGTCATTCTTTCCCATTTGAATAACAATTAAAAATTAATTATGATCATGTTACTAACTGGAAAATATAAAATTTTTTAAATGTAGTGACCATATAGCACTTCTTAAAGCTTTTGAAGGATATAAAGATGCAAAACGTAATGGAAGAGAGAGAGCATTTTGTTGGGAAAATTTTTTATCACCAAGTGACCTTGCAGATGATGGAGGATATGAGAAATCAGTTTATTGACCTGTTATCAGACATAGGCTTTGTAGACAAATCACGGGGTGCTAGTGTAAGCTGTTTGTCTTATCTAATTTTCTTGCCATACATAAACCTTTTGCTACCCTCCCATTTCTTCTTTTTCTATAGTTGTGCCTATGTATACCTTTTCAAGCATCCATGGGCATGCTTGATTTATGATGTTTTAATTCACACATTATACATATGCTGCAGATCTTTATCATGGTCTTTGGTTGGTTTTTATCTTAAAAATGGGAGCTGTCCAGTTGTGCTTATAGTTAAGTTCGATATATGTTTTTATACAGGCTTACAACCGGTACAGCCATGATCTGGAGATGGTATGTGCCATCCTTTGTGCTGGGCTTTACCCAAATGTTGTGCAATGCAAAAGAAAGGGAAAGCGTACAGCATTCTATACTAAAGAAGTTGGAAAAGTTGACATTCATCCTGCATCTGTTAATGCAGGGTTCATCACTTCCCTCTGCCTTACATGGTTTACAGTGAAAAGGTTAAAACAACCAGCATATTTATCCGAGACTCAACAAACATATCTGATTATGCTTTGCTTCTGTTTGGTGGGTAATTTTATTCTAGCAAAACAGGAGAGGGTATGAGATGCTTGGAGGGTACCTCATTTTTCTGCATCAAAGAGTGTATTAGACTTGATACGGGTAATGTCTCATATGCCTTTCCTTCGCACAAAAAAAAAATAAAATAAAATCCTCTGATCTAGTTTAAGCCAATAGATGAGATCATAAAGGAATTTTTAAAATATATTTATATCTATTATTATTATTTATTATTATTATTCTGCAGAAACTGCTGGTGAACTTGACAAGCTTTTGAACAGAAAGGTTGAAGAACCAGGATTTGACATTCCTGCCAGAAGGAAGGGAGTGGTGTCTGCTGTGGTTGAATTATTGCACAGTCAAAATGTTCGGTACTGAATTCATACTTTTTTGTCTTTCTCTAACATTCTTCATAGTAGGACGCACTTCTGCTATTCTTTTTATGTCATAATATAGCAACATATAACTATTAGGACTGGTACTGTAATCTAATGTATTCAATATTCCTGTACACATTGTTGAAAGCGTTTTTTATAGCAATATGGAGAAGAAAAAAAGGGGGAAGGGGTGGGGGAAGGAGGACATGGTCCTAGGTTATTTTTTACTTATCCTTCTGTCCGCCTTTCCAAAATCAGGCGTCTCCTGTTTCAATGGAAAATACAGTAAGGCAGCTCTTCCGATGATATCTTCCTGTTGAATTCTAATGGTATACAATAGTTGGCTAGTTGCCATTGCAATTTATAGTTACCAAGTGGATATACGTTTGCCCCCAAACTCCTTTAGCTTTCAAGCTAAGAAAATCTTTAATGGACATTCTGATGGCTACTTGTGGATTTAAAATTCCTGGACACTTTCAGCTCTCACCCTAAAGACAGTTTTTGATCTACAATTGGATTGGAAACTTCTCTTAGCTTTGTTTAACTGTGGAATGCTCCCATTATCTTGCCTAATTAGAAGGACAATATGAACAAAATGGTCAGTTAGTATTCAGTAACAGAAGTGTGAACAAATTTATACAAGAAAGAAAACAAGTGTATTATGTTATAGTTCAGTTTACTGACGTTAGGGGAGAATCGACATTAAGTCTTTAAGGCTTCAATTTGTAACAGAAGATGATCATCTTCGTCTGAAGTGTCCGTTTGTAACGCGGAATGATCGTCCACATCCTCCGAAGAGTCGATTTGTGTTTCGGACAAGGGGGCTGGACTGGAGTAGCTGGATGAACATGCATATAAGTCGGAAGCTTTGATAATATTGCTTCAGGCTGAAAAAGTTTGATTACTTCTCCTAAATTTGTCCTTTCCTTGCTAGAAAGACGTGTACACACCATAATCCGACCACCAAACAACGCTCCATTTGATAGTGATCAAAATTTCCTTGCAATCTGCTATTGGCTGCATCAGCAAGGTGAAGCTGGCAGATCCAATTATGAATTGCACCAGATTAATGAGGATCTGGTTTTCTACCGGACAAAATTTCCGAGGCAACGATTCCAAAGCTGTACATGTCTGCTTCTTCACTGGCATTGGGTTCCTCCAGATATTCTGGTGCTTTGTAGCCAGGTGTTCCTGTACCTTTAGATGTCTGACTCGTCCTCAAGCTCGTGAGATTAGCAATCGCAAAATCATCAAGCTTATCTATGGATGACACACTTCTCTGCGCCTTCATGAAGATATTGAATGGCGGTGAACTTCACAACGTTTCTATGTATTAAACGCCTTATAAACCTCAATTCCTTGTTGAACTCACTCTCCGATTCAGCAAACCCAATGTTCCTTTATAAACAGTGCGTCCGCCTTCGCCCTTCCTTCTATCGTCTGCAAAGTCGTTGGTAGCTGTGTGTAGTTCTTGAAGTGAAAACTGTATTGGTAACTCTTCTCCCTCAACGGAACTGCCACCCGGTTAACTGCCACCCTGATCTCTAATTGCTTGACCATTTTGGGCTTCATTCCTGGCTTATTTTCTCCTTTTTTAGCAGCAACCAGCTCACTGCAACGAGGACAAGCGCTGAGGTGGCCAAACATACGACCAAATTTAACCATGATTTAATGTTGTTATAGTCAGTGTACTGGCTTGTACTTGCCGAAATACCATTTGCTACTCTTTTGGGGAGAGCTTTCGTAAATTTCATCATATCAATATCAAAACCAAAAGAAAAGCTATCCATAAAAACAGGGTTTTCATAGCTCGTCTGGAACACACTCAGGATTTTGGTAGGCATTGCAAGTAATCGAGACATTAGTCAATTTTCTACATTGTGAGCCAGCTACCCTTGGGACATAGCCAGCAGATGCAAATTATTGATCCCAACCTATGAATTTCATGTTGAACTCAACTGGGATGACATGATAATGGGACGTGGTGGAAGTGATGATACTGGTATTTTTCATTAACTCCCAAATTTCAACGAATGAGTCATCGTGCGGTATTTCTAGCCCACAGGAGCATGCAGAAGAGCAAGACATTTGTCATTGGCGTCAACATTTCTAGTGTAGCCGGTGAATGAGAAACAAGTACGAACGTCTGCAGCTGCAAATGTCATGTTTGAAGAGTTCTACAGGTGGATAGGCTTTGATACACACGCCAGCCAATGGGCCGAAGACTAACACGACTGGTTTTAGTAGCTTTAAGATCAATGAGCATTTGAATGGTGAAGACAACATCTTAATGATTTATAAGCAGACGTTTTGCTCTGACTGTTGCTAAGAATGCTGATACTTGGTTGATTTATCAGATATCAGATGTTTAGGTTCCCTTGAGAAACTTTGCCTTGTCATTTTTAAATAGTTGGATCCTTGGGTTTTATTTCTTTATTTTATGAACAATTGATAGCATTAATTAAGCTTAGGAAGTTACACTGGAAAAACTGTGGTTGTCCTTGCTTCTGAGATTATTATGTATTAAAAGGATCTCGTGTGCAGCGAACTATATGAAAGTTTAATATTTAACATAAATCTACATGCACCAGGTGGGAATTTCTTCTTGAAAGTTCAGTCTGTGGGGCAGTAGATTCCTCCATCACAATGGGAACTAACTTAACAGATAATATGATGTGTACGCAAGAATGCATCTAAAAAGGTCAAAAGAGATACCAAAAACTTCTAACTGAGAATCCCAGAAATCAAGTTAACCACTTCCTAGTTTGTCTTAAACTATTGCTGAAAAAGACGAAAATTCATACGGCTTCCAACCTGCCAGCAACCATCCAACTACAGCAAGACAAAGCTTCTTGTAGCATTTCAGGAATCATGGTGACTCACTTTCTTGTTACCTGCAGTAAGTGATTTTTTTTTTCTATGAATATCAACCAATTAGTTAACTGGAATTGCTATCTTAAGCAATGCCTCACTAAAACTTGAATCTTCGATTAACTATGACTCTGTATTCTTGCTCTGTTTGCCTTTTTACTTTCATAAGAAAATATATAGCGAGCTTTTTTTCTTTTTTTTTACAAAGGAAGCCGTAGTTTAGGGGATAGGAAAAAGGATTATAGGTGCTGAGATTTGAATCTCAAATTTAATAGATGCCACCTTTAAAGGTGACTGTATGAACCAACTGAATTAAGCTTTGTGTACAAAATCTAACAAGTTTATTAACATAAAATTGTTACAGTATAATAATTTACCTATTATTAGTAGAATATGGATCTGCTTTTGGGAATAACATAAAATAAGGGCAAAAGGATATTGTAATGTATCATGGTTCAGCGAAGTACGTGAATATATCTTGAAAACTTCAGCACTATATCCACATTCCTTCAGTTGTCAATGGATAGACGAGGTAAAGGGGCTGGATGCTCGTGCATATCAAGTGGAAGCTCTGGCAATGGTGCTTCCAGTTGAAGAACTCTAATGACTTGCTCTGCATTTGGCCTTTCCCTGTCATTAGGATGAGTACACCATAATCCCACCATCAACAAGCATTGCATTTCATTTTCATAAAATGTTTCAATCTTCCATCAGCTGCATCAAGAATATTGCCATCAAAGTATAGCTGCCAAACCCACCTTAGGAGTCCACCATCTTGGTTAGGCTTTCTCCCAGTTGCAATTTCCAAGGCCACGATTCCAAAGCTATACATGTCTGTTTAGTTACGAGCTCTTTGTTCCTGCATATTTCCGGTGCTAAGTACCCAGGTGTCCCTACAACCCTTGTTGTTTGAGTCCTAAGTCTCTGGTCCACGAGCTTGGCTACTCCAAAATCACCAAGCTTGGTAGTGAAATCTGTGTCTAGCAAGACATTAGCTGATTTTATATCTCTGTGTAGGACGCACTGCTCTGCGCCTTCATGCAGGTAGTGAAGGGCTGAGGCCAAACCCATAGCTATCTTGTACCTAACATCCCAATGGAGTGTTGGTTTATTACCATGAAGATGATTCTCAAGGCTGCCGTTTGGCATGTATTCATAAACAAGTAACAATTCGTTTGATCATGACACCATCCGATGAACTTTACCAAGTTTCGATGTATCAAACGGCTTATAATCTTAAGTTCATTGATAAAGAAACCCTCGGATTCAGCAAATATTCTTTTTACAGCAACTAAGCGTTGATCCTCTAATGTTCCTTTGTAAACATGTGCAGACCCTCCTTGGCCCAACCTTCCATCATCTGCAAAGCCATTGGTAGTTCTAATTTCTAAATACTTCTTGGTGTGAAAATTTTCTGGAAAAGCCTCCTCTCTCAAAATCACTGTACACAGAAGAGCAACTGTGTATTGCATTTGCACGGCCATTTTGTTCTACATTCTTACCATACCTCCTTTTCAGCAGAAACCAACCTGTAACTGAATAGAAGAAACAAACCGAAGCAATCACTATTACATATGTCCCCCAAATCTTTTTACCATGGCTTACCTTCTTCCCTTTGGTATCCAAATTTGAAGTGAAGTCCCACGATTTAATGGTGTTATACTCCGGGTACTCGCCTGTACCTGCTGAAAATCCAATTATGACCCACTCTGAGAGAGTTTCAGACAAATCTATCTGACAAGAGAGGGAAGAGTCATAAAAACGGGGTTTTCAACGCAAGTCCAGAACACACTCAGGTTTTTGGTAGTGGCATTATAAGTAATCCAGACATTAGCTAGTTTTCCACTGTTTGAGCGAGCATCCCATCGGGTAGGATTAACTGATGTTAAAGAGTTGTTGGTGATTCACACATGCTCAAATAGTGGATCCCAATCTGCATCAGGATAGCTATCAAACTCAACCATGATGATGTGATTTTGGGATGAGCCAGCCCTGGTAGTTGAGCTTAGTAATCCAAAAATCCACCAGCCGAGTTTAGTGGTATTGGATAGCCAACCGGAGCAAGGCCATTTCCATAAAGAGTGGCATTTTGAGTATCAATGATGAATGAGAAATGCGTACTGAAGCAACTGCCAGTGTAGAAGAGTCACAAAGGGGGACACGGTGAGCATAGATAGCCCTGCCAACTCGACATAGATAATCAAACCTGTTGAGTTCAATGGCTCCACTAGAAACTGTGGCATCACCTTCATAAATAATGTTACTAGAATCAGGATTAAAACTGGTTATGTTAAAAGAAAATGAGTGAACAAAGGGAAGGAAAAGATGGACGAAAACGAGGAGAAAACTTGAAATAAAATTCATATGGTAAAAGGGTAAGAGGTGATAATTTGGTTGCAGACCAAGAAATAGATATCTAGTTGCCCCTCGGAATATGAAACTGCCACTGTTATATGAACTGGAAGTTTGTGTTCTGATTTTGATAATTTTATGAACAACGGACAGCAAAATGTTAAGATAATACGAGGAAGCTGCCATGGATGGAATCTACAACAGAGGCAGCTCTGGCCTATTTGAATGTCCTATATGTTGCTTTCCAATCTCCTAGGAATAAACGAATACTAATTCGACATTTAGACACGTGACCAATACCCAGGTGCTTTTCTATGTCCGAAAATCCGAATAACCAACCGGTCCACTGACTGAACTTACGATGTTTTTGCTCAGATTTGTTACTACACACCTTAGATGAACAATCCAATCGTCCACAAATCTACCATCTGTCCCCGTCATTTCTACTGGCAATATCCAATTAATTTATTCCTTTCTGTTAGTATGACGTTGATGCTGCTGTTGGTATATGCCTCCTAGCTGGCTCCTGCTCAACCAAGAAAATTTGATACAGCAGAACAGAATTCATTAAAGGTTCATAAGAATTGGCTGGCTTATTGCTGATTTGCCATTCTTTGATTTCTTTCCTCCCACACTCTTACCTTAAAAGAAAGACAAAAGGGATTCTGCAGGTTGCATCCTTGCTAATGTTAGGTGTGTCGGAGACATGCTGAAACCATAATCGATTTTTAATTTTTTTCAAGTTAGCCGCAGGCAAAGAGAAAAATAATTCATGCCATAATTTTCAAGTAAAATTTGCAAAAATAATTAAACTATCAAATTCTATGTAGGATTGCTAGTATGCATAGAGAAAGAAGGAAATTAAAAAAAAAAAATCAACATGAGAAGAGATTTAATGATTCTCAGATGAATGGGAATTTTGGATTTTAAATTTGGCACTTACTAAACAGTAAAAGAGTTTAGAGTTAACAATTGTAACATTTTTATTTAATAATACAATAAATAATTTTTTTGATCAACAAAGGTTGTAATTTAGGCATAAAAAAGAAATTACAAGTATTGAGATTTAAATATTAAATATATTTAATATTATCTCTTAAAAATGATTATATAAACTTATTGAATATTAAAAAATTTTATTATTATAATGTAAGAAAATGTAATTGCTTCCTAAACTTGTTTAGTGAAATTCTAGTACAGAAATTGTTTATTAAGTATAAACTTTACATTCAACTTCCTGATAATCTCCTACTTTGATAAGAATTATAATCTTATACTTTGAAAATTAATTTTTCAATAAGATATTTTATTTACATAATTTTCTGTAGTATATATTATGACTAAATTGAATAAATTTAAAGGTTAGGGTAAAATTAGGAGATTTGATTAAAATGTCAACTAAAGCCTCTTTTAACTCCGCTTCCCTTTCTGGTTCAAGTTCCGTTTCGTAACAAAACTAAAACAGAAAGCCGCTCCAACCACAACTGAACACTCGAGCCGGCGGCGGAATTAGAAAAGAAACCCTAAAAGCCCTAAAGAAATCCAAATCCAGAAACTTGCCTCAAATTTTCATGTCCCCCATTAATCCGACCTGAAGATCCACAAACTAAAACCCAAAACAATATGGGTCGACCCGAGCCATGTGTTCTATTTTCTCAGACTTTCGTTCACGCTCACTTGGACGAATACGTCGACGAGGTAACTCTATTTTTTGGTGTGAATTGTTTCTTTCTTTTTTCTCGACATTTTAACATATAATTTTTATGAATTGGGGTAGCAAGGAAGAATTAAAAAGTCAATATTTTTAGTGTTAATTCAGGTTTTTATTGAATTATTAATCGGTTTTTGTTTATTGATTGAATGGAGCATTACATTTTCTTTTTTTTTTTTAAATTAATTTATAGTTTTTGGTTTGTTTTTATTTTAATTTGTTGTATTTAAATTTTTATTTTTTAGGTATTGTTTGCTGAACCAGTTGTTATAACTGCGTGTGAGTTCCTCGAACAGAATGCGTCCTCCGCCTCTCAAGCGGTAACACTTGTTGGGTATGTTGAGCTTACTACTGTATTTACAATTAATTTTCTCATGAGAAATGTTCCCTTGCATGATAATGGCAATGTTATGGTTTTGTGTTCTTCGTGTGATATAATTGACTTATGGGTCATTAGATGATAAGAATTAGGAATAAGATTGGCATATCCGTCTTGTAAAATATAGTACTTTGTTTTGTTGGCATGATGTAGTTGAGATTTGAATTTGGCACTTAGATTACGTTTGGTTGGAGGGAAAGAACAGGAAGGGAAAGAATGGTTATGGTACGGAGAGGTTAATTGAGAGGGAAACAATGCCATTTATTGAAGAATATTGTTTTATGGGCATGGAAAGATATCAGATCTTCGTTTTCTGCTTTTGTCCAATTTCTCTCGGCCAACGAGTGGCATTGTTTCTCTCTCATCTTCTCCTTTTTCCTGGGAATTTTTCTTCTTTCCCTTTGCCTTCCTATCAAAGGAGCTTTAGAATTAAAGTCTTACATAACTTGCATCAGATATCTTGTTTGACGTGGTAGATGTGAAGTTTTGAATTAATTAAATGACAGATTCAAAATCTGAGAATTTGTTGATTAGAAACAGTAATTATTGTATCACAAATATGTTATTCCGGTATAGTTTTGTTATTATGAGACATTAATAAAAAGTTTTAGCATGTATTCTGATGTTAGGGATTAGTGACATGCTAGTAGAAGAGGTATACCTTATTTTAATTGGTGCAATTTCATAAATTTGGCTATTGAGCTGCTCAATGTTTGGAGTATTGAGGTCGAAGTATTGGAAATCCTGATTTTTTATGCTGTAATTTTACAGGGCCACTTCACCTCCTTCATTTGCTTTGGAGGTGTTTGTTCAGTGCGAGGGAGAGACGAAATTTAGGCGCCTCTGTCAGCCTTTTCTGTATTCTCATTCTTCATCAAATGTGCTTGAAGTGGAGGTGATTCTACATTTTGTCCATTGGGATTTTTGAATTCTGAATTTCATTTTGTTTTCAGTTTATGCTGTCTCACTTATACCTTGGTTTATGTAAGAAGACAAGTGTCTCCATATACATGTATTTATGTACAGCTATAGCTTGATTGATGAAAATAAAACGTTTTAAGAAAGAATGAATTAACAAATCTTTTTTTAATTTGCTAGCATCAGCAATTTGATTGATGCATAATGCAATTTAACAGTTGTTGAGGCCATAAAGAACATTTAACATCTTTAGTATATGGTAGTGATCCTGGAAATATTCATTGCATATGGTCAATCCTGGATATGCTCAGTACAGGTTATCTTCGCGTCTCCTATTTGCAGTTACCTCTCCTTTATTAACAAAATGAAAAATTTTTAAGCTTCCTAGCTATGCATCTCGGTGTGCCTTTATATTGTGAAAGCTATATGCCAACACTGAATTTTCTTTAAAATTGTATGGTTATTTTCTGCAGGCAGTTGTAACCAATCATCTGGTTGTAAGAGGTAGCTACCGGAGTCTAAGCTTGGTCATATATGGAAATACAGCAGAGGATTTGGGCCAGTTCAACATTGAATTTGATGATAGCTCTCTAACTAATCTTGTTAGCTCTACTGACGGAAAGCTTGAAGACCTACCTCTTCCATTAGGCACATTTAATCGGACATTTGAGGAATCTTTATCTTCTCTGAATGTTTTATCTTTACCAGTAGTCACACTAGATATATCCATAGAGGTTAAGCAATTACTACAGCTAATGTTGAAAATTTTGGAATTGCCAAACCTTGGTTATGCAGTAGATAAAGTTGTCAGTGCTGTAGCGTTAGCTGCTTCTTCTCTCATAAACTTAGATTCTAATGTAATCAATCAGAAGCATCTTATGTCAGGAAGAAACAAAGATTTTAACGAGTTGGACCATGGTATTAGTGAGGCTAGAAAAGAGCTCCTTGAGCTCTATGAGGCTCTTCAATGTAAAGCTGTGAATGGATCCTCTGAATCATTGACAGAATTCAGCTTTATGGAGTCTGATGCTGATTTGGCTTCTTCCAAACAGTTGGTGGAGATGTTATCACCATACTTCGATTTCAATAGGAGCTCCTCTAGTTTTGGACATCACCAGCTCTCAGAGGTAATTCAAATAGAGGCTGCTATACTTGTTATATCATCTATTGGCATTCCTTCTTGAATTTAAAGATAGAAAATTACTTCAGGATAAAATGAAAGCTCATCCATATTTGATATGCTATCTTGATTTACAGAGTAAGAATGTCATCTTGGGGTTGAATGTGGCTCTTTTCTTGTGCTCCAGTAAGGAGAGCTGCTTTTACTTTGTTAACTGTGGTGGTATGGATCAGCTTGCATATCTTTTTGATCATGAGATGCAGAAATCTACCGCCATTAAATTGTTGCTACTTGGAGTTATTGAGCAGGCTACACGGCATTCTGTTGGATGTGAGGATTTCTAGGTTGGTGGCCTCGTGAGGATGAAAATATCCCTTCCGGCACTAGTGATGGATATAGTCACTTGTTGAAGTTGTTACTGCAAAAACCACAACATGATGTTGCTTCTCTAGCAACTTATGTCCTTCATCGACTTAGATTTTATGAAGTTGTTTCGAGATATGAGGTATGCTTTTAAGATGGTTGTGCATTTTTGCTTGTGCAATTGTTTATATCTGAGACAATCTTAACATTACTTCCTTGTAATTTTATTCTTTACCAGTGTGAAGTCATACCCATACTGGGTGGCCTGTCTGCTACTGCTAAAGGGACAAGCATTGCTTCAAACAAGCTCATGGATGTTGGATCACTACTTAAAAAGCTCCTGGTCGGTTGTCAATCTTTCAACTGCACTTCTTTTTTCCTGTTGTTTGTGAAATATGTGGTAGTTACTCTAAATGTAATTATTGTCATGTTCACAACATTAATGCAGCATTTATAAATTCAAATGGCCCAATTGAAGATCCATCTCCAGTGGCCCACGCAAGCAGATTTTGATTCTTCGTCAAACTGATGGATTAGTATCATTACAAAGCAACCAGTGGGTTGATTGCTTTCATCAAATTGTTGCTTTTCAGATTGGAAATTGACTTGCATTTGCTGACACTTCTTAAGGTTAGATTGCTCAGTTAGCTCTTTTTGCACTTTTTGAGTGTTTCATATTATGCTTGTTGCTTTTG